AGGAAAAGATAATAAGACGTGGTGTATGGAACATTGCGGGGATTCCGATGGTTGTTTCTCGGTGGTCGCTACTGGAGGATGATGCGAAGAAGAAGTTAACACCATTGTGGGTACACTTAACGAAGGTCCCAATGAGCATGTTTTCTTGGGAGGGTTTGAGTTTTATATCAAGTGCAGCTGGTATTCCCGATAGGCTACACCCGGAGACGATAGCTTGTACGAGTTTTGAGGTTGCAAAAGTGTGCGTGAAAGCTGATCTTTCAAAGCAACTGCCAAGGAAGATCAATTTCAAGATTAAAGGGGAAGAAGTGTTGGTGGATTTCACATATCGATGGTTACCTACAAAGTGTAGTACATGTGATCACTGGGGTCACTTAGAGATATGTACTCAAGGTAAAAAGAAAGAGGAGGATGGGAAGGAAACAAAGAAACAATTGAAGTTGAAAGTTCAAGAAGGAAAACAAGACTTGAAAGAAGGGAGGAATATGGGGAACAGTGGGGAAAAAGAAAGTGATTCTTCAGAAGAGTTGGATACTAGAAAGCTTGATAAAGAAAATTTGGAGGTTGGAAAGTGTAAGGAAGATGAGTTAGGAGAGAGCTCAGTATATGAGAAAGGTAGTTCTAGTGATTTAAAAGAGCATGGGGACGAACAATCTGAGGAATGGAAGAGGGTTTCACTGGAGAAGGCTAGTAGAAGTCCAAGACAGTTGACTCAAAGAAATTATAATATGGTACCTATTGTAACTCCTTCGAGATTTGCTGCTCTAAGTAATATGGAGGATAGCAAAGATGAAGAGGAGGAGCAGGTAGAGGAAAATATAGAGAAGAAGAGTTCAAATAAAGGAAATCAAAAGGAGGTAATAGATACGAAGGAAGTTCAAACTGAGAAATCTAAGGTAGTAGAAGTGAGACAGATACTACCTAGGCTTTCAAAAACATATCATCGAGTTCTATCGGAGGGTTCAAATAAAAATGAAACTGGAGTTATGGCAAGGGGTTCGCGGAAAAACCAACTATGACTGCATTCTTCTGGAATATAAGGGGCTTCAATAAAGATATTAAGCAAAAGGTTGTTCGTAACTGGGTCAGAAGTAATAGTATGGAGTTTGGATGTGTGATTGAAACAAGGGTGAAGGAGATTAAAGCAAGAAGAATTATTAAAGAAACGTTTGAAGGATGGGATAGTATTACAAATTATGAATTTAATAAGTTGGGAAGGATTTGGGTGGTTTGGAAGCAGGATGTAAGGATGACTCTAATCTACAAAAGTAGTCAGATTATTACCTGCTCGGTTTTGATGAAAGGTGAAGTGGAAGAATTCTTTTGTTCTTTTGTTTATGCGGCTAATGGTGTGGAAGAAAGAAATCAGCTCTGGGAAGACATTAAAAACCATTTCAAGGATAAGAAACGGATTCTAATGGGTGATTTTAATGAGATTCTGGAGGGAGAGGAGCATTATGAGTTTGAAGTATCTCCGAAAATTTCACAGGGTATGAGAGATTTCTAGGAGGTGTCTCAGTATTGTGGTCTGACTGATATGGGATACCAAGGACCAAAATTCACGTGGTGCAATAAGAGAAAAGAGGGGTTAATTTGTAAGAAGCTAGATAGGGTGTTGGTTAATGAGAAGTGGCTTCATTCTTCTCGAGCTTATTGTGTATTTGAACCGGGAGGATGCTCAGACCAACAAAGATGTAAAATTCATTTGAAAGTGGAGGAAAGAGATAAAAGGAGGCCATTCAAATTCACTAACTCTATTGCAAAAATGAATGAGTTCATTCATTTGCTGTCGGATCATTGGAAGGAAAATGAAGCATTGCACCTTTCTACAACTGCAATGTTCAAATTGACGAAGCAACTTAAGATCTTAAAGCAGCCTTTGAGAATCTTGAGTAAGGCAAAGCTAGGTAATTTACCGAAGAAGACCATAGATGCGTATATTGAATTATGTGAGAAACAAAAAGCAACTTTGGTACTACCTACAGAAGCTGCTATTGAAGAAGAGGGAGAGCATATGAAAAATGGCAAAGACTTTCGAATCTGGAGGAAGAGTTTTATAAGCAAAGGTCAAAGCTTCATTGGCTTGAAGTTGGGGATGGAAACAATAGGTACTATCACAATGCTATAAAGATAAGGGAAGTGAGGAATGGAATTAGGGAAATTCTTCGGGAGGATGGTACTATAGCAAGAACTGATGAGGATATCAAAGAGGAAGCTGATAAATTTTTTTACACAATTTATGACTAAGCAGCCTGATGACTTTGAAGGTGTTATAGTAGAGAGGCTGAGGGAGCTATTGGGGTTTCAATGTGATGAGATGGATTGTAGCAAGCTTGAGAAGGAGATTTCAAAGGAGGAAATCAGGGATGTCCTTTTTAAAATGCCGAGAAACAAGTCATCTGGTCCAGATGGATATACAGTGGAATTCTGTCAAGAAGCCTGGCATGTTATTGGAGAAGATGTTATGGTGGCTGTTCAATCTTTCTTCCTAAAAGGATTCTTACCGTAAGGACTTAATTCAACCATTTTGGCTTTAATTCCAAAGAAGATGGAGGCAAAGGTAATAAAGGATTATAGGCCAATTTCGTGTTGCAATGTCTTATACAAGATTATTTCGAAGCTAATTGCAAACAGGCTGAAGGGTGTGCTGCCTAAGTGTATTTCATTTAACCAATCTGCGTTTATCAAAGATAGGTTATTGATGGAGAATGTGTTGCTTGCAACTGAAATTGTGAAGGACTACCACAAGGAAGATATCTCTCCGAGATGTGCTATGATGATAGACATTTCCAAAGCTTTTGATTCGGTTCAATGGCCTTTTCTCCTCAACACACTCAAAGCTCTTGGACTTCCAGGAAAATTCATCAAATGGATTTCTCTGTGTGTAACTACAGCTTATTTCTCTGTCCAAGTGAATGGGGAGCTTGCTGGATACTTTCGGAGTAGAAGAGGGCTGCGCCAAGGCTGTTCTTTGTCTCCATACTTCTTCGTCATCTGCATGAATGTACTTTTCTGCTGGATGAAGCTGTTGCAAAAGGGCTGATTGGTTTTCACCCGAAATGTAGAACATCAATCTAACTCATCTCTACTTTGCTGATGATTTAATGGTTTTCACTGAGGGGACTCGGAGGTCTGTAGAAGGAGTTATGAAGGTTTTTGAATAGTTTGATAAAATGTCTGGATTGAAAATAAGTTTAGAGAAATCAACCTTATTTATGGCGGGATTTTCAGATCAGAAAAAGAGGAAATTATGAGTCATTTCCCTTTTGGAGCAGGGGTACTACCGGTTCGGTATTTGGGATTGCCTTTGCTAACTAAGTGTATGACTGTGGTGGATTTCTTACCTCTAGTTGAGAAGATCAGGAAGAGAATAGGATCTTGGACATGGTGCTTTCTCTCTTATGCAGGAAGGCTTCAGCTGATAAATTCAGTGATAATGAGTTTAGCCAACTTTTGGATGGCTGCGTTTAGGTTGCCAAGCGGATGCATTAAGGAGATTGAGAAGCTCTGTTCGGCATTCCTGTGGTCGGGGGTTGATTTGAAAAGTAAAAAAACTAAAGTTACATGGAAGGAAGTGTGTAGAACAATACAAGAGGGTGGCTTGAGCATAAGATCTCCAAAAGAAATGAATATGGTTAGTATTCTGAAGCTTTTATGGAGAATTCTATCTACAAACTCGCTTTGGGTTCAATGGGTAAAGGGGGTTCGATATGGTCTATTAAGGAAGAGTCGCAGATGGGGTCCTGGATCTGGAGGAAGATTCTAAAATACCGGGAGAAGACCAAACTGTTTTATAAGATGGAAGTAAAGAGTGGCAGGAAAGCAACATTTTGGTATGATAAATGGTCTTCTTTGGGATGTCTAAGGGAGTTGTTAGGGAATGGAGGGTATATTGAGTTAGGTATTCGAGCAAATGCTAAAGTGGAAGATTGTATAAATCATCAAAGAAATAATCATAGATATCCAATCTTCAATAAGGTTGAGCTGGAGATTAAGAAGTTTAAGGAAGCAAGGAGAAGTAATAGGGAATATGTCTCTCTTTGGTGGAATGGGAAAGATAAGTATAAGGAAAAGTTCTCAACTAAAGAAACTTGGCATGTTTTGCGTGAGAAACATCAAGTAAAAAGTTGGTATAAGGCGGTCTGGTTTAAACATGCTACACCCACGTTTTCCTTCATGGTCTGGATCGCTATGCGGGATAGACTCACTATAGGAAGCCGTATGGGACAATGGGGTTGGAATATTGACACATCTTGTGTGTTATGTCATGATCCGATGGAATCAATGGGTCATCTATTTTTCGAATGTCCGTTCTCAGAACAAATTTGGGCTGCTTTGGCAAGGGGAGTTCTCATGGATAAATATAAAAAGTGCTGGATAGATATTACGAGGATCATTTCTAATGAAAGTCAAGATAAGCTTCATCTCTTTATCATTCGATATCTGTTTCAAGTAACTGTGTATAATTTATGGAGAGAAAGGAATCGAAGAAAGCATGGAGAAACAGCTTCACTACCTGCTCTACTTGAGAAATTGATTGATAAAACAATGAGAAATAAGCTTTTTCTTGTTCAGAGAAGAGACAGGGGGCTAGAAGGAGGCTTAAGATTCTGGTTCTCAGCCAGACAGAGCTAAGGATGTAGAAAGGAAAACGGATGAAGGAAGAGTTGTTTTGACACAAGATAGTATTCCAGTAGGAGTGAGGGCTAAGTAGTTTTGAGAAAGAGGTGGAGTCCAGTAGAAGTGAGAGCTGGATACCTAGTAGGAATGAGGGCTGGGTATGTTTTGGAGTTGGCTGTTTCTATGATGCGGAGGTAGAGTTGAGAAGCTGAAGATAGATTTTTTCTTCAAATTCTTGTTTTGATTTTTTAGGAAAAGATACACATGATTGTAACAAAGTCTTTTTTCTTTTGAAGTAAATTTAACATTCAATTAAAAAAAAAAAAATTTCATAAAGTGATGACAATTGAAATGACCAATAAAGGTGAGAACCATAGCAACAAATCTCTTACTCAATGTTTAACTTTATGGAACATATGTATACAAAAAAATAATCGATCCAAACATACTTATATAGGTCTTATAAGTCTTAGTTACGAAGTAAATGGAAAAAACATGATTTCAAATCCTTTATACTATGATTTTGAAGGTGATTTCACAATCTCTAAATCTCTATAATAATGTTTCTTCACAGCTTCAGTTACATCCACAATAACTGTCATGCCTTTAGGAATCACAACCAAATCTCCTGCGATTAACTCTAAGGCTACTTCTTCTTTGTGCTGCTCGACTATAGTCACTTTCACCTTCCCTTCCAAGAAGTACATCGTCTCTGTCTTCTTAAACTTCCACGGAAATTTACGTGGAATGCTTTCCCATCTGCTAATATTTGATCTTGAAAGTTAGTCATTTATCCATGTACATGGCTTCAGATATCACTTAATCAGCCGCCCCCCCCCCACCCTCCTAACTGATATAGCATTCTACACATAGGCTTAGGAGCCACCAGAGAAGACATTGTTTTAATAAAGCATGACAAAATTGAATTTATCTCAGGCGTAACCATATTCTTGGTGGTTTCATTATTTTTGTTAAAGTATTGTGAATGCCAACAAATTCGTACATCAAGATATTAAGCTGTCGTTGGTGTCTTCCCACTACAATGTTTTTCATAGTTAGCTGTTGTGGAATTTTTAAATGAGAATAATATATGGATCTTCCACAAATGATTTGGATGTATGAACCTCAGTTTAAAATCTAGGTTAGATTGGGATTCGACCCAGACCCAATAAAATCCGGTTTGGGCGGGGTTTTTCAAAGCTATTTACCCTATTGTGTCCTACACATTATATATTGGTTCATTTCCGGGCATTACTCAATATCTGAGCGGGTACCTCAGTGAACAAAAAATGCTAGATGTATTAGTTATATCTTAGGTTAGGGTGTGGGTATTACAAGTATATTCTGATACTTTGAATATGTTTTTTATGGAGCTTTCGGATATAGGATTTATTTTCTTTAGTTTTGCGAAGATCTTTTGGTTTCTTATAAACATTTCGATTTTCAAATATATTTTGCGAATTTGGGATAATATATATTTGAACGGATTCATATATTAAAAATTTGGACTATCGTACGGTCAAGAACCGAAAATTGAACCCACTGAGGAAAAAGCAAAACCGAACTAAAACACTTTATGGGTTTTAAAGGGACCAAAATCCCCTACCCAATACATTCAAAATCAATTATTCTTACTAGAAAAAGATTTGAATATCATAATTCTCATCTCTAATCTCAGTTATTGAAGAACTAAAAATAAGCTACCGTATCACAAAAGTAATTCAGAATGATGTAACTTTTTGTTATAATTTTATATTTTCTACTTATTTATAATACTGATTTTTTTTTTTCAAATGGAAGCACAATTCCAAAATGGAAACACAAGTTTCTAACATTTTTTAATTAAGTTATTTTAGAAATGTTTAGGAATTAAGATTCTGAAAGCTTCCACAAGCTTCCAATTCTGAAGTAGGAAGCATATATACATACAGCTCCGTGCAATCTAGTTTTTAATTTTCAAGATATTTTGAGGGTTTACATATTTGGATTTTAAAATCTATTTTTGTTATTCCGGATAATAAATATCTGAACCTAGCTATATTTAAAAAGTTTAACATATAAGAAGTTATGAATATTAAAACCAAACCAACTCGGAACTAAACTGGTGAAACACTTGCAAGTAGAGGTGGGCACAAGCCGAGTACTTAGTATTTTTGGTATACTTAGTACTAGGCTTGGTTTGTACGAGTATTCAAATTTTGGATTTGTACTTAGTTTATTAAAAACGAGTACTTTCAGTTTCAAGTACTTGCGAAAAATTGATGGACTTGCAAGTTACTTGCCTTGTTTTATTACTTGTTATTTGTAAACTTTTTACAAATTACTTGATAACTATTAATAAATTATTTGATGATTAGTTAAAATTTAAAGATAGATAAATTTATTATATATAAATAATATGTCATTGTTTTCATTTTTTCATTTTTTCTGTTTTTTAGTCACTCGTGAAATAAATTATATTAAGAAAGAAAAAATTTCAAAGTGTTTGTATAAATATCACTTATGTTTGAATCGCTTATAAAAATTGTAATATAAACGAGTTGTTTTACTATAATTTAGGAAAATGTATCTTCGTTCATTATCAAAAATAAATAATAAACCCAACAACGCTGAATAATTAGTTTTATTTTCTTATTTTGTATTTTTTTGTATTTGAAGGCAGTTTATATAGACTATTTGATACACGTTTTAGTCAAAACAAGTATTTGACTTTAAGGATCGTGTACCAACCAAGTAGTGAACATGAGATAAGTAACAAATAATTGTGACCACTTATAAAATACATAAATTTTAATTAATTAATGAAATATATACTAAGTATTTAATAAAACAAATAATATATGACAAGTAACAAGTAAAAGATAACAAGTAATAAACTAAGTAGTTAAAAATTAAAATGAACTTTATACTTGACTTTTACTTGCGAGTAATAAAATCTGTTTACTTGTTACTCGACTTAATTAGAGTAAGTACTTGTTTTCTCAAACAAAACCAAGTCAAATAACGAATACAAGCCAAGTATTAAGCATTTATGCACATCCCTACTTGCAAGTTCTAAATGGATCCAAAATCAGTCTACCCAACAATCCTGAAACCAACCGGTTTCTTACCAGAAACCACTTTGAATATCCGGATACACCAAGATAATATATTATAATAGATAAAGTTAAAGTAAGCTATCGTATGCAAAAGTAATTCTGAATAGTGGAACCTTTTCTTTTTGAATATAGATTAATTTGCACCGTAAACTCAACACTAACACACAACTCTTGACCTCTGTGGGAATAATAAAGCAATTGGTTGTTAATTCTGATTCATTTTCAAGGGTTAAAGGATTATATAACTATTAAGAAACCAAGCTCTATAACTATACACCATTGAAACAAAGACGGATAACGATGAGCTATAAGAGAACAGAAACTTAGAAGGGTACAGAAAACACTAACATAGGCCAAGAGGCAACCCCGAGTTCAACAAGCTTGGTATCCGAAGGTTGTCTCAAGATCTTGACTCCATGAACATCAGTGGGAATCGCAGGAGCGAACACCAAATCAAAATTTGGTTCCATAGTTGAATTGAAACTCTAACTAAATGAGGAACAAAGATGAGATTAATATGTGTGGCTTGTAGAGAGTTTTGACATGTATTTATACGTATTATATTGCGTAATAAAAACGTAGTATAGGGTACATTTCCGAAATGATATCCGGGTGTACATTTTAACACTTTATTGGATGTAACTGTTCTTTAACCATGCAAGCATTGTGTCAAAAAATATTTAGTGTACTTACTATTGTATAGAAACTCTATAAATTTATGTTAAAACTATATAATAAAATAATAATAATTATGTTTCGGTTACTAACGTAAATTTGAAAAAATTTAATAAACTATAAAATAATGATTTTCAAAACTATCCTAACTATATAATAATTATTAATTTTAAAAATGTATGCATATACAACTTTGATAAAATATAAATAATTACTCTAGTTTATTAGGTTTTATTTAAAATTAAAACCGCACGAGTGATCATCTCTCGTTTAAAGTGTTGCATCAGATCCCATTGTTTTTTTTTTTTACTTAAAGGCTTTCATCAGATCAGATCCTATTGTTGTTTATTTGTTTTAAATAAATCCAAGTTTAAAGAGTTGTCTTCAGTTTTATTATCAGCATTAAGGATTGTAACCATCATTTCTTATATCTATTTTAAACTTACGAAGATATCATTTTTGCAGAACTAACCAAGTATTTTATTCTCTTATATTGTAATAAAAAATATTAGTTATTATTAAAAGTGTGTTGAATTTAATTTTACTACCAAAATCATCTTTTGAATACTATAAAAATCTATAACGATTTAGATAACCATACCAGTTTTAATGAATCTACATGAATTAATATATGTGTTGAATACAAGTATCATGTGCGAGTTAATTTATCTGTTTTTTTTTCTTTTCTTTTTGTATTAATTGCACTTGGAATGGAATCAAAGAGATAATAATGTATTCCTCTGTTTTATTTTATATGTCGTCTAAGATTTCTTCACACATTTTTAAATAATTGTTAATTATTTTACTATATCTCTAACTAATACAATGTTTTATTTGATTTTGTTAATTAGTTAGTTAAAAATTGAAGGTAAAAATGGTAAAACTTTCAAACATATGTATTAGAAAACCAAAGCGACACTTAAATGAATTGTTTTTCAAAATCTATGACATATCTTTTAAATAGAAGTCTACAACGACACTAAATATTCTTGTCCAATGACCATGCAATCACTATATGATATTTGCTATGGTCTCATTCACACGGTATCGCGAATCACTTTTCGATAAGTCACCCATCATTCCACTATTCCAGCTCAAGCATGCTTATTTTAAACGGATATGTGACGGAAAAGGTAAGGGCACATTTGGTGATATAAGTAGACAAATCAATTTTATTAATCCTTTCCACATATACAAGAAATTGAGATGTTACAACTCCTCACACTCATAGAGCATAACGCCCTCGTTACACACCACGACAAGTCTCAGGACGTCTCTCGGGTCAGAACCAAGATAGTTAACTAGTTTTGATACCACTTATAAAGCCCCTATTGCCAATAGCTATTGGGCCTCCCATGTCCACTCACTCGGCCCATGGGTTCATTCCTTGCGATGAGCTGTACATTAATTTTTTGGAGGCTCAAAAGCCTTGTTTACTAACCCTGCAATCACAACATATATTTTCCCGTGTTTTAGTCTCACTCACATGGTATCATGAATCATTTTCTGATAGGTCACCTTACATTTCACTACTCCATCTAAAGCATGCTTAACTTTGGAGTTCTAAATTTGATGTGCAAACAAAAATGTAAGTACACTTTGGTGACACAAGTAGCCAAATCAATTCTCTTAAATTTTTCTACATATATCAGAAATTGAGATGTTACAAATTTCTTATATTTCTAAAACTTATCTAGATGAATTGAGAAAGCAGACAACTCCAGTGGTTCAAATACAATTTTCACTATTTACAAATAGTGAATTAGGAAAATTACTATTATTATCAATATGCAATCATACATTCAGTAACCCAAAAATAATTTCCGAATATGACAAGCAATGACGAAAGACTACTCTTTATTCCTAACTCCAGTTAAAAACTACTAACTCCATCTCTCTCTTAAATGATGAACAATTATTGCTCTAAAACCAAATTGACTTCTTTCCATGAGCCATTTATATGATATAAAAGTTATTTTAAACCAAATTAGATACCCTTAAATATTCCAGCGAAAAATAAGCATACGTGAAGACAGTTAGCAATTGGCTCTAGTGGATTCTAGATCTGAAAGGATCCACAACGAAGTTGCTGATAGGATCAAAAAGAACCCGATCCAACTGATGCCATGGTCCCAGGATTGTATACATATCTAGTTGTCTCCACACTAGTTGGACAATCATTTTGAGGTGGTAATTTTTTCAATGTTACATCTTCTACTTATTCTTTTATCTAATTTTTATTTCTATGTTTCTTTTTAAATTATCCACAAAGAGGAACGGATCATTGGAGTGGGCCCGGTGAATGATGTGCCGAAGGAAATATTGTCATATTCCCAAACATGTGAGGATTCATCTCAGCATCGCACTGAATTGATGGCTGTTAGTAATGTTATTGAGTCTTTGCGTGAGCAGAAACAATCAAGGAGGGCTCATTTGAAAACTATTGAGAGCTTGTTAGATATCATCACCTATGGAAACTTGATACAAGTCAAGCCTTAGAGATTAGGCGCCAAAACCTCATGATTCACCATCAACCCCAATGTACCGCAAAGGAGTAGGCTGAATTTGACCGAAGAACCAATGCCATCAGTTTGGAACTCTTCTTCGCTAATATCAACCTCAAATTTTAATTAGCTTATTTTAATTTTTTTCTATTTTATAATAAAACTTTAATTTAAAATTTATTTTCTAATTTATTTTGTCAAACTAAGTTATGATGTTAATTTTTGTTACGCTTACGATGCATTAACATCGAACTACATTGTTTATTCGTCGTAAACAGAACGACGAATTTACATCAACCTTTATTGTCAATTCTTTGTAAATGTAATGACAAAATTACATCAAAGGTCGATGAAAATTCATCATAAACCTAACAAGAAAATAACATCAATGTTTGAAGTTAATTTGTCATTAATTAAAAACATATACATATTTACTAGGAAACTTAAAGATGACTTAATAACATTCATTTATGTCTTTTTAACAAATTTTATTTTCTCCTAGATGTATTTTTACTTTATGGTTAACTGTGTTGCGACTAAGTTACATAGTATTTTGGACATTGTATCATTTACAAAAATTTCTCAGTTATAACGCACGATTAATGAATTTTTTTTATTTGTTATCAATTAATTGTGATATACGATTAACAATGGGTTTAAGACGATTACAGTAACTATTAACCATATTTTTCTTGTAGGGCTTATATTTGAAAGATCTTCTATTTTCTTAGAAAAAATATAATTTCTCTTGAATCGATCTATCTCAACTTTCCTTGTGTAGGATCCATCGTATTGATGTGAGTTAACTCTCTTTTGGGTACTTGCAGATAACAAAAGACAACACCACAACAACATACTGTTACTATGATCAGTTTTGTGATACAACTTATCAATATTAGATAGCAATGACAAAGATATTCCGTGAGTTCTGGATCTAGGCTTAGATCACGATGAAGATCGTTTATCTTCTTTAAATGTTGTTATTTTTCAATCTCCTTCCTACTAAGAATATTTTTTATGTATCCTGAACCATCAAGTCACCTTACATTATCCAAATCCTCTTCAACCTAGTTATCATACCATTTGTAGAAGAATTTTCTTTGGTTTATTCTCTCATCAAATCGATCTTGATTTTTATTAACACTTTATTGCTTCTTTTACAGGTTTCTTAGGCATGGAGTAATGACCATCTCCCAAAGTTTTTTTAATTTCAAAGGAAATGAATCATAGGAGCTTTGATTCTGCAAGAATTTCATTTATGTATGTGTGGCAACACTTATCGTCATTATTATTACAAACTTACGCTCTCTCTAAATTTCTCTCCCAGGCACATCTTACGATGTCAATCTTTACCCGCTGACTTCCCACCCCAACATCTCTTTACCCACTGTTCCTTTCCCTTTCAGTGCACGAAAAGTCTGCAAATCTAAAGTTTTTTTCAAATTCTTACCTCTTTTATTTTTTACCCAGAGGTTTCTTTATTGTCCTTGCCGGAGCTATGCAGGGATGCTCATCTCCGATGTTGCAAACCTTCCCCTGTGGGTGACTACCCGGTTACTTTTCCCTCCTAAGGTCTCTGCTACGGCGTAACTAAGCTCTCTCACTCCCAACAGACCTATAATAAACCACCGTCATACTACCATGGATCTCTCCTGCAACTCAAAAGACTGTGTTTTCACAGATGTCCTACACCCTCTACCGGTGTTTTGGTCTCTGTTAAAAGACTGTGTTCCAAACTCCTATTTTGAGACTGCTTTCTCTGCCTTTGTTAGGTCCCAGCTCCTACAAAGGAAGGTGGTTTTTCGTGTAACAAGGTTTAAGCTCCATCTACAGATCTCGAACCCCTTTAGTACCTGTATCAGTGTTATCCCCTGCTTAGTAATGTCGATAACAAACAACAACCAATCTCAGTGCCTAAGTAAGTACCAAGAAGATGATGACGAAGATCTAGTCATCTTACCAAATGTTGACAACTCTGAACTTATTGCTCAGTTCAAGCTCAGCCTTGTTGGTAGACTTTTTAATCGTGATAGGAGAAATGTCGAAGCTCTTATCTCCCTTCTTCCACGCCATAACATATGGGATGTGGAGGGCAGAGTACGTGGCCTGGATTTGGGTAATCATCGGTTTCAGTTCGACTTTGATTCTGAAGCCGACTTGCTGAAGGTCTTAAACAAGAGACCCTGTCACTTCAACAAGTGGTCTTTCTCACTGGAAAGATGGGCTCCACATATTGGAGATTCCTTCCCGAACACCATGACTTTCGGGATTTGCGCAATCGGTATTCCCACTCATTTCTGGCTTGAACCTATCTTCCGAGCCTTAGGAGATA